AGTTTTTAGAGTACATGCCCATAATTTGCCAAGGTTGGCAGAGTTTAGGCATTTCTCCTTGCTTTGAGCAGTGAGGCACAAATGTTATGACTGGACTTTTCACCAGATACCAGGGATCTTTTTCCATTACTGGAGTCTTGAGGGTAGTTATGTCTTTCCCAGCCTTCACCTGAGGATCTTCCAAATCCCGTTGAAAATTTGAGACTCTCTGTCCCGCTTTTCTTCTTTAGGAAGGCACAAGGCAAACAAACACAGGCATGCCCAGGGATTACAGTCATGGAATCAGAGGGCGCCCAGCCCATCCGACTGCTCCCAGGTAGAATCAGGCTATGACAGGTGGCTTTTTACTTATCCCTAATGCTGAAGCCTCTAGCTTCCCCAGGCAGTCTATTCCAAAGCCTCTTTACTGGTAAATTACACAATTTTTATTGGTAAAATGTTTTTCTAACCTGAATCTTCCCTGTTGCTGTTTCAGAAGGATGCGGAAAACAGATTATTCATTTTTATTTTGCAGCCTCAATCTTCTCTTCCGAAGGGCAGATGACCTAGATTTGTTTGTTATTTTCTCACAGGTCCTGCTGTCATAGATCTTTCCTCTAGCTCTTCTCTGAGTTTTATCTGCATCTCAGAAGGTGCCTCCCAAAACTGGACGCAGCCCAGTGAGGGATGAGTTCATATATCATGTTGAATATGCTCCTGCTGATACACTCCAGATGAAAGTTTGATTTCGCTACAGCTTCTTGTTTAGCCCTTTGTACTGATGGATGTATGGCTTGGGACCAGATGAGCTGCTTCTACAGAATTATTCTCCTACCAGTTATTCCACACTGAATTTGTGTACCTGCTTTGTGTTTGTCCCTATTGAACTGTGCCCCCTCTTTCTTCAGATCACTTTTCTGTGATGATTTTGACTTAGCTGATTGATAGTGTCTTAAGAGGTAAAGTCCAAGTGAATGCAGATAATCCAGTAAATCAAAAAACTTCATGAAAGCAGTCTTCCCCACCTATTCTTTTGCGTGATCTCTACCCTTATTCTGGAAAAGTTTCTTCTGCTTCATCAGGTTTTTGTAACAGTTTCTTCCTGTCTGAGTTGATAGAAATTAGTGAAGAAAAGAGTACACCTCTTTAAAGGCCTTCCAGTCTCCTTTGCCACATGATCCCAGATCTGTCTCAACAGATCACAGTATCCAGTGACCTTGTTGACAGGCAAGAGATAAACCAAATTTCCCACGTGAGCCAACTGATTGCTTAAATCCATTTTTCTTACTTTTTGTGACAATTGTTTTTTCAGAACAATTAAGTTAAAAATTCCTTATTACTTGCCTTGAGCTAACAGCCAACACCAGTCCAACATGAAGATTAAGAGGAAAAAAAGGTGATACAAAAGAACTCACCTTTGAAACAGGATTTGCACTCTCATGCAGATTAAAAGCCCCTAAATCAAATAGAATTTGTCAGATACACGTAAGAATCCCCAAGTCATCGTAAGTCCTAAATCACTTAGGCACTTTTAGAAAACCCACCCAGGATTTTAGCAGTACTTCAGTGGAGGTATTCTTCGGTGACAGGCAGAAAAAAAATTAGTTAGAAAGAAAGATTGCTGCCTTGGGTAATGAGGTTTATCTCACGGAAAAGGTGTTTGGTCCCCTCACAATCTTTACTCATAAAAGGCTTTTCCAGGTGCAGATTTGTCCCACAAACCAAACGCTTTGCCACAGGCTTGCTACATGAGCACAAAAACACAGCTGTGTGGTGCAGCAGATGTAGGAGAATAAATTCTGGTTGACCACAGTTACTACAATATTTAACCATGTCAGGTGTAGATCCAAAATGCATTTGGAGCTGATCATGCCAGTTGCTAGTTACCAACTTCAAAAGCCAGCCTTTGGATGGTACTGAAGTTACACCACCGATGGTGGCTTTTGTTCTCTGCAGACTGCAGCCTTGGAGACATTTGTACAGCAGTAAGTGCTCGACACTCCCTCAGAGGTGCACACAGAGTGAAGAATCCAAGTTACTTATGATTTTTTATGAACCCTGAGCACAGACAAGTAATCGAGTATGAAATTGCCATTTTTGCGGAGCTGTTTTTCAGAAGAGAAAAGGCCAGCTGGGGAAGTGATTTGAGTTAGAGAAACAGAATTAAGAATAATTATAGCTAGTGGGGTAAAGTGTTTCTAGTGATTCATTGTTCCATCTCAGCGTGTGCTTAACATTATGAGACAGTTTGTTATGGGTTTACTGTGCCTCAAATGAGCAGAGATGCATTTTAATTGAGACAAATGGGAAAAAAATTGGACAAGAATATTGTTGGCTAAGCGGTATACATCACAGGGTGTATCAACATGATGCCTCCCTCTCTCCCTCCTACCCAAAGGTTTGTACCAACAGAAATATATTAGCAAAAGTCAGCACATTTCAGGGGCTTGTTTCCCTACCCGTTGTTGTGGACTTGCTAACTGCACCTGTACTCATTTGTTCATGTAATGTCAGTTGATGCCTGGACCAACATGTATGTGTATAAAATAGAGTAACAGACAGGCATTAAAAGTTTCAGCGTGATCTCTGGTCCATCTGCTTTCAAAATTTCTCTGGCACAGCTGCTGGATTTGCATGTATTAATGCTAAACTGTTTTTGAAACTAGCCAGCGTATTTTGCAGGTTGCATTAACACAGCATTAACTGGGAGAAAAAGCTGGTCTTTTAGTGATTTGCAGGTTCAGTATCTGATCTCTAACTGATGATCAGGTTAAAATGATAATTTAAATGTATCAGGCAATGTGCATCACATGATGTTTGTGCCAAACCCAGGACACCAGCTACTTTAATTACGTAGAACATATATTTACGCTGTCTTGAAATTCCTTCTGCAATTACTGAAGATTTTACAGAAATCTTGTAGGTTGGGGAAGTACTGTATGGAAAGAAAAGGGAAGTGCTCCATAGAGAATGTTGATCAATACTGTCAAAGTCCTCTAGATATACTTCCCTATAGCCGTACAGTGACAACTCTGTACTTTTTTCTTTGCCAGAATGCAACACTTGGCAAAAATCCTTAAAAAGTGAATGACTGGCTGAGACAAGATAGTCTATCCCATCTCCAGTATAGACTAGATGCAACAAATTAACCAGGCAAGCATCAGATAATACATTTCTTTCACATCTTCTAGACTTCCCATATTCACTTCAAAGTCACGTGGGCTTTTAAATATACTCCAGCTTCTCTGCATCCCATGTCCTCAGCCATTACTTCTGGTACTGCAAACAGTTATGTACTCTCAGATGCACTAGTTCCTCAGCCCCAATTCAGACCATCCACGTCGCCTACATAAGCTAGCAGAGTACATGGAAACATGAGGAACAAGACTTCATGGTGGGACGGTGTGGCAGAAAGGCATCAGTCACCCTGAAAGAGAAATCAGCCTATGGAGGTGCCGAAAATTTCCAATTCAGCTGAAGTCACTGAGGGTTAAGGGGTTTATCCAGACTGTCAACTAACTCAGTTTCCTGGTTTGAACTCTACTTCAATGCCCTGCTGGGTTTGATCCCTGATGGGTCCCTGATTACTGCCACCAAATCTGTGCTAGTTCACTCCTGGGCTCCCTTCTGGTGTGTTTTATGCTGTGGGGTTGAGCATCTGGGGCTACACCCACTATGGCCACATAACTTTAAAAGCATAGTTTGCTAACTGGGAATCTGTCCAGTTTGAAGGATAAAATGTTGTGGAGTGTGAAGGGGGCTGGGAAGAATCCTTTTTCTGACACCCAGGCATCACACTAGCGCTGGCCTTCTTCCTCTTTCAGCTGTGTCCAGAATAATGGGATCTGCAGATCGTACGGAGCAGAATCTCAATGAGACCCATGATATGATTCCGTTGATGTACCATTGTTCAAGTAACCATCAGCGCATCTCAAAGTGCTCCACCAGTCTTTGATTTGTCTGTGGTTTTACACAACCTGACTGAACAAGGAGGAGTTTATTCAACCAGACAAGACTCTTCATTGAGGAAACGGTGGTGGATTGGTAACACTCTGTGTGCCTGTGTGTGCACATGTGTGTGACTGATTTCATTAAGAAACAATTTGTACTCTGATGGTTTTATTGTTGCTGTGCTACAATCCGGAAAAGAGCTGAAAGAGCTCAGGAGTGATGACAGCAATAGCAATACAGGTTTTGAAGAGGATTGTCTGTAGAGTAAAGTAAATTAAAGAAACCAAATTTTTCCTACTCTTTTCAAAAGTTGGGGTACCTTTCTTTCTGTCAGCTCTGAAGGGACTCTTACAGCTCCCTGCAAAGCATGAGGCAAGTGTAAATTACCATCACTTTCACAAGGACAGGGATTCAGGGAAGTCAAAATTTTAGAAATTGGTGTGTTTTTGTTGCCAGTCAATCTCCCCTTTGTTTGCCACGGTCAATGAATATGATCGATATGCGAGAGCCGTCTGAGAGCAGAGAGGAAAAGCAGCGTGAAGCAGAAAACCTGTGGGGCTTTACAGATCACTCTCCTTTCACCTCCCGCTGCTGTCTCCACCCTCGGTGCGTTGTGACTCCTCCTGGAAGGTGGCGATGCTGAAGTCTGCCTGGACTGGATCAGCTCAGTCCCGTGCAGTGCTTTAGCCAGCTGGCAGTGCAGGAGGGCTCTGCTTTCCCTGCCACCGCCTCCTCCTCCTCCTCTGCTGGGGGGAAAGCTCCCATCTCCACATGCTGTGTTTTCATGAATGCCTCGAACCAGCTATGAGAAAACAGCTTTTTAACCTGTGCAAATGATCTGGAATCTCAGAGGGATTAACCTGTCTGGTAATTGCATTTACAAAGACTGAAAGTCCAGGTGCTTTTGGGTGAGTGGAGGACAGTACAGGAATGGGACTGTGACTATATGGAGAAAGTGCTCTGGGGCTACGGCTCACCCACGCTCTGCTCCACTCACTCTTTTGCAGGGGACCATGGAGAACACGTGCTGAGACCGAGTGCTGGGCAGAAGCAGCAGTGGGCTGGTGAAGATGGAGAATGGCACAGGGGACGACCAGAACCAAACTGGGCTGCCATTATCAAGCCAAGAGATCGTTACAGCTGAATACCAAGTGGTTACCATCCTCTTGGTCCTCCTGATCTGTGGACTGGGCATCGTGGGCAACATCATGGTGGTTTTGGTGGTCCTCAGGACCAAACACATGAGAACTCCCACTAACTGCTATCTGGTGAGTCTGGCTGTGGCAGATCTCATGGTGCTTGTGGCTGCAGGACTACCTAATATCACAGAAAGCCTGTATAGATCCTGGGTGTATGGCTACGTGGGGTGTCTCTTCATCACTTATCTCCAGTACCTAGGGATCAACGCTTCTTCTTTTTCCATCACTGCCTTCACCATTGAGAGATACATTGCCATCTGCCACCCAATCAAAGCTCAATTCCTATGCACTTTTTCAAGAGCCAAAAAGATCATTATTTTTGTCTGGGCTTTCACCTCCATATACTGTATGCTCTGGTTTTTCTTGCTAGACCTTAATACAGTAGTCTATAAAGACACTACTGCTGTGTCCTGTGGCTACAAGGTGTCCAGGAGCTACTACTCTCCTATCTACATGATGGATTTTGGTATATTTTATGTTGTGCCAATGGTATTGGCGACTGTCCTCTATGGCCTGATTGCTAGAATACTGTTCCTGAACCCCATCCCTTCGGACCCAGCAGGAAACTCTAAGACATGGAGGAATGACATGGCTCACCAAAGCAAGCCTGTGAATTCTGAGATGACTAACAGGAATTTCAATAGCACTATTGCTTCTAGAAGGCAGGTAGGAACAGCAGTTTGAAATGGCTTTCTGAAACCTAAAATCTGCTTATTTTAGAAATCACTAGTCTAAGCCTGTGGAAGGGGGTAAAACATATTCTCCCTTTTTGCTAAGTAGTTAAGCTGAAATTCTGTGATACGTATACATGTACATATACATATGTATTTTTTCTTGCCTATTCATTATTACCTACTGCTAGGACTGGAAAACAAACAGTATTTTATTTACTATATCAAAAAGCAAATAGGAAGTATCAATAAAGCATGAAACATTTTTAACTATAATTTCTTTATATTACAGCCTGTTAGTAATCCTGCCAAATATACAAAGTGACTCTTGAGCTATTTTTGAGAGAAGGAAGTAACCTGGGAGTTTAGGAGACTTGAGGTTTTGTCCCAGCTAAGGCACTGTGTCACTCTGCAAACGCAGTCAAGTTGTGACTTTTCCTGTCTCTAATTCGCCTGCGAAAATCCTACTTAAGCAAGTCTGTATATAAAAGTGCTTCGTAAATGCTAAGTATCTTTGTTACTCTGTCTCTCATAAAATATTTTTATGTATTGATGGCTCAAAACTGAGGCATAGGTTTGACTAACTTCTTTTTATACTGTTAAACATGTATGCTGCAATGTGTAATTATACAAGTAGAATACAGTTAGTAGATTAATTTATGGCTATTTGCAATAAACTGTAACTGCCTCATACTCACACAGCATGAGCAGGTAGCACAGTGGGGTGCAGTGCTGAGAAATGCAGGGTGCATCACTTGGCAGCTGGCTCTCGGGAGCAGGCTCCGGTTGGGTCAGGCAGCTTGATGCGGATGTGGGGAAGCGATGCTCCATGCTGAGCGACTTGGCTCACAGCCCGCGGCAGCCGCTGCAAGGCACCCCAGAGGGTCGCTTTGCCAAGTGGGATCCTTCAACCTCCCTGCACTGTACAGTTCCCTCAGAAGGCAAAGCTGAGCTGTGCACCTTTTCAAATAAGCTGAGTGCCCCCATTGGGTGATGGGTTGAACTTTATATTCTTATTTTATGTAGATTGCTACTGTTTAATGAGAGGGACCATTTTCCCTTATTACGGAGATGGCACTGACCTCAAAAGTTAACTGAGCTGCCTGCTAGAGCACCGAGCGCTCGCAGAGCACTAGAGCCATGCTTTGAAATGCACAATGGAAACATGTGGGTTAGGATATATTTAATTATGTGCCTCCGGTTATAGTAAATAGTCAGATTAGAAGTGTTTAATTTTGTTTTTCTTTGTCCATTAATTAGTAAAAGAAGAAGATAATATGCTTTTCAAGTTCTCAATATCCCTTTAGTATACATGCTTGATTATGTGTGCTTAGCATGACTTGAAAAACAGGCAGATCTTTTACATTGAGCATTGCTGAATGTGGATACTGCTTTATTATGAAATCAAAAAGTGAGGATTATAATGTGATGTCTTTTTTATGTCTTGTACAGACAGCAAAACTTTTTCTCAATGCCCAAGTAACCTGATGGTTTGAAGTAGCATCATTATGAGTAAAGCTAGCGTTTGTTATAGTATAACATAGGAAGTAAAGCAAGGATAGTGTGGCATCATTAGTAATATTTGTTATATAATAGCAGCATGCAAAATATAGCCAGTGGTGTAAAATGGGAAAACACAAGTCCACATTCAAAAAATCTGAAATCTCAACAGCTAGTGAGACACACAGGTGAAAATTTCCTGCTGCGCTGGCAAAGACATGTATAGCTGACAGTACAGTTTGTCCTCATAATGAGTTCTGCTGTCATGTAAAACTGTCTATATGCCTTCTCAGAATTGTGTTTGCCCTACAGTGATGGAGCTGCGTATGATGTCCAGCATGTGATCTGTAGAAAAAGTGACTGAAAATGTGATGCACAGTTCCTACTTCTGTGGCATTTCTCATATTTATCCAAGAATACTTCTACAAAATGAAATCCGGGCGTTTTCCTGTGGTGGGTTGGCTCTGGTTGGCAGCCAAACACTCACCCAGCTGCTTGCTTATTCCCCCCCACAGCAGGATAGGGAAGAAAAATGGAAGAACAAGAACAAGAAAGCTCATGGGTCGAGATAAAGACAAGGAGATCACTTACCAGTTGCTGTCATGGGCAATGCAGACTTGACTCGGGGAAAATTAACTTCATTTACTGATGATTTGTTGCCCCTTGTTGTAGCTATAAGTTACACTCAGTCCCTTCCACGAGGCAATCGACAGTGAATTGCTGTCAGATTGCAGAGGTTTCTCCTCTGCCACTCCTTCATTCTCACTCTTTTCCTCTGTTTCAGTGTGGGTCCTCCATGGGCTGCAGTCCCTTCAGGGGGTGCCTGCTTTGCTAAGGAATGCCTCCTCCTCCTCTGACTTTGGTGTTCCCTCTGCTGTTTCTCACTCATTTGTTCCCGTCTCCTTTCTCTTTATCTCTTTCCAGTTTTTTTGCCATTTCTTAAATATGTTTTCACAGAGGCACCACCAGCTTGGTGGGCTCTGTAATGGGCTCAGCTGTGTCCTGTGGTAGATCTGTTGGAGCTGGATGGAAATGTCTGTGCCCAGCATAGGGCAGCCCCAGGCCTCTTCTCAGAGAGGCCACCTCTGCAACCTCCTCACTGTCAAAACCTGGACATGGAGATACAGTACAGTTCCGTTGAGTAATTATGATTAAGTATTATTATTATTAACCTATTATGAGCTGACATTTATATAATATACCAGAATGAAACGGTAAGTTAGATGATAGGTTTCCTCAACCTTCATGAATGTTTAACTCAGGAATTTCATAACCATTTTTGACCATGATTAATCCAACATGACAGTATGTGAATTGATTTACCCACTTAGTATGACCTGGATTGCTTGACTAATCTGGATTTATCTTGACCCAGACTGCCAGGTCATACCATTTTCTTTAATTTTCTTGGGAACTTCCAATTACCTCATCTATGTTCTGAAAGTCTTCCTTTGTTAAAAATGTTTTTTACCTGATTAAGAAAGTTTTTTGTCCTCTACCTTGTCATACAATGGCTGTGTTTTAGTTGAAGAGCACTATCTGAAGCTGTTTCCAACTCATGGATGAAATAGATTCCATCATCCTGTTGGTTTTTAGACTTTTTTTTAACCTATATTATTGTGTTAGCATATAGCTATCTGTACTGTCAGCTTTGTGTTTCTATATCAGCTTCCAAGAATTAGTCTTCTATATACAGTCAATACTTTCTATTGGGAGTTATACAGTTATGCAATTTCAATTGTCTTCTTCAAGAATGGAAATACATAACTTGGATTTCTGGTATGAGAGCTAGCCCAGAATTAGAAGCTGACAGACTGAAAATGTGAAAAGCAACTTGGAAACCATCCTGAATTCAACACCTAGGATGCTTCCTTGCACCTGGCACTGATGGAGAGAGCAGGGCAAGAGAGGAACAACCCTGATATGGCATCTAGAAAAGCTCTATGCTCAGGGAGGAAGAAAATATAGTGTAAAGTAACCATTTCCTCACAACTGTGGAGGACAGCTACCTGAGCTGAGGCAAGGTGGCGTGAGAAGCTCAGCAGTGAGATAAACAGGAGGGATGGAGGTTGTTACTGCCGAAGGAGAATAGATGGACCATGTTCAGTTTCATTAGAACAGACCTCTATTCTCTTCAGTCTCTGACATAAACAGACATAATGCCAGCACTGAAGGGGAAAAAAATGGTCAGGTTGCCAGAGAACTTTTGTTTTCAAAACAGAATTGCAATTTAGAGCATTCTATGATTTAGAAAGAAGGCCTGCAATATATTTTAGAATGGTGAGTCAAGCCTATTTTAACATATTTTTCATGTGAGATGCCTAGGGATGAGCTCAGAATGAAGCTATAGTAGGTCTCCAATGAATGAAAATCAGCTCTTCCAGGTAGAAAGTGGTCCTCTGCTTACTTGTTACGTTCCCTGCCTTCACCCTCCCACCCACACGATTTAAAAGTCACTGAACTATGTTAGTTCTAGGAAATATTTATTTTGTTACAATGTTTGGAAAGCTAACAGGAACAAAATCTCTTTACTAAAGGATCAATACCCCCATATCAACAACCACCAACAGACAAAGTACTCTTCAGGGCCCCCTGAAGTTTTCATTCAAAGCACTGCAAGACAAAACTGAACAGGGAAGACAAGCAAAAAAAACAGGTATAAAAAAATGAGTCCTTTTTTTTAAATATTGAAAGAGAAGCACAAAATAAGCTTCCTTTTCTCATAAAGTATCTCCATTTCCAACACATTTTTGTTTCACTGAACGACATCTGTTACCACTGATACTGGACAACTACTGAAATTATGAGTTGTTTGCACTGCAAACTAGAGTTCTATCAAGGAAAGGAGCACCAGTACGTACCCATAGGATGTGTCAAACTCCATTCTTACATCCAATTCTGAAGAGCTAAATCAATCCCACTTGTGCAATATTTATTCTGTTTTACAGAACTGCAGTAGATAGCAGGATTTGATAGATGTATTTTAAAGGTTTTCAAAAAGAAAACTAGTTTTATTTGACAGCCAGGCAAACATGGGAATCCATTTTCAATTCACTTTGTATTTTCCATCAGGCTCCCAGTGTCACATTTCTCAAAAAGCAAAGGGACTGAAGATGGTTTTGGTGTAGCTTTTCGTTTAACAGGCTTTAAAGTGCAGTGAGTAGACTGTGACAAGAGGGTCAATCAGAAATGCATGATGGTGGAAGAGTAGACAGAGGCTCGTTTCAAATACTTCATTTTTTACTTCAGAAAAGAGCATGATTGCAAAAGTGCTTTAGCAATAGAAACCCTCACTCCCCTGAAGACTTTTTTTCCAAGTTTGAAGAAAACTGGTCTAGATATGTCTCAGTTACAGCTTACCATGGTTGGAATAGTTAAAGTATGTCTGACATCTCTTTCTTCGTCACTTTTTCCCTCCCAAGCTGTGGGAAAGGTGAAAAAGATTGTGAGACTATTAAGAAAAGTATCACATATGCTTGCCCTCCTTTCATTCTC